CGTCCACGCGTCCGGGGAGGCCGGAAGCCGGGCCGTGCGGTGCCGTCCGCAGTCCGGGTCGGACACCGCCCCCCGCACCCCCTTAACGGAGTGGGGGGCCCCGAGCTGCCAGCGGGCCCGTTCCCGCTCCCAGTCTCGGGTCTGGCGAATCGAGAGGTCGGGGGCCATTCACTTAGCAGAAGGAGCTCCTGGCCGATAGTCCGACGCCGGCAGTTTAAGGTAGCGAAACTGAAACCCGCCGAGGCAGGCGACCCGCCCGAGGTCACTCAGCCAGTTAGAGCCGGCGCCGGCGGAGCTGCCGGGTAAGAGCGCACTCCCGTCTCCGGTGCCCGGAAGCCCCTTCCCCACCGCCGCCTTAGGTCTCTAGTCTTCGTTCTTATTTGGTCTCTCCAAATCTAACTAATTTCCTCCGCTGGCAGGTTGATTTTGAGCCCTTGCGTCAATGGGCTCTGCACTTAAGGATTTCCCCTCCTTTTCTTGGAGGGTTTCAGAGTCTTCATTCTCTGGAAAGGAGGGCAGGGTCCAGCCGGCTGCTAACACAGCAGGGATCAAGAGGAAAACACTCACCTAGGGGCTGGGAGCCTGGCCAAGTCATAAAACCTTTGGGTCCCAAGTTCAATACCACCAGCAAACGAAGGATAGAACTGCTCACTTGTAGACCTTCCCCAGCTTTTGTCTTGTCCTTAGAAAGTGCTTTTTCTTGCTCTGCTTGGTAATCTTTTTTCTTTCCTGTGGGATTTAAGAAAGCGCTTGCCTGCCTGCCTCTCAGCCTTACCCTTTCCCACTGTCTACCACTTGGTCTTTTTTACCAGTGCATCCTTTCCCGAACTCTTCCTACTGTGGACTCTGCCCTTTAATGTCTAACTGGTTTAGATGTCTCCTTCTCACACTTTGTGTCTCTCATGGCTTTTTTTCTGTTTACTTACATATTTTTTGGTGTTACTGGGGCTTAAACTCTGGGCTTTGCTCTGTCATGAGCTATGCCCCCAGCCCTGTGTCTTTTATGAGAATCCTAAATTCTGAAATTATCTTGCCTATTTCTTTTTATTTCCTTTTTTTAAAAAATTAGGTTTCATTATTTATTGGAGGCAGGGAGATTTCACTGTTACCTTTCTACTCTGCAGACTTCTTGTCACTGCACCTCCTGCCTCTCCTCTACCAAGCTGAGGGCTAGCCAGTGAGGGCTTCCCCGAGAAGCCGGGCACAGAAGACAAAATGACAGCACTTCCCAATATTGTTGTTGGAACCTGCCCCTGGGGCCGTGAGGGTAGCTGAGGTATCCTGGGCTGTGGTCCTCCCTTCCTTCTGGCCATGGTTCGTTTGCTTCCAGTGCAGTCTTGACCCTGGATGTCTGTCCCTCCTGTTGTGGGTCCTGGGGCATTTCCCATAGGCTGGCTTCCTGCAGGGCTAGTGCTGGGAGGGCTGCGCGGCTGGCAGCCAGGCCTCCACATCACCATACACTTAGTTTGTCCAGGTTCTCAGCCATCTTCAGGCTTTCTGAACCTGTGGGAAAACTCCAGGGGTACTAGACAGTACATTTTTCCCCCTTTTTGTTCCAGATTGACACCATGCTTTGAGTTGCCTGTGCAAAGGAAAACAGTGGGCATCTCTGTCATATTCATGTGAAAGTACTAAGGGTGTGCATTCTGCAGAACTGTCTCATGCTTATTTTGTATCCTGAGGGTTGAACACTTTTAGTATAATAGTACAGCTTTTTGGGTTGTATCTGCTTAAAGTCCTGAACCAGATGAATGGGTCTAATGAAAGAACTTTGAAGTCAATGTCACAAACTAAAACCGTAATTTCCATCCTCCCTTCTGTCCCTTCCCTCTCCTTCTTCCTCTCCCCCTCTTCCTCTCCCTGTCCCTCTCCCTTTTTTTGAAACTGGGACTTGGGCTTGCTATCTGACTCTTTCACCTAGTGGCTGGCACTCTACTACCTGGGCCACATCTCCAGCCCCCTGATTTTCTTTGGTCTCTCAGCCCTTCTCTCCAGCCTGGGGAGCACCGGGTGTAGCACTGCCAAACCGGGTGCTTGGCTACAGGCCCTCTGAAAATCCCTTGCCCTTCATCTCTAAAGGTGGAGAGGGTTGCCTGCTGGCAGCTTGGAGCAGAGCAAGGAAGGAGGGTCACGGGTGGGGAGGACAGCCACAGGTCCTTGGGAATTTTCCGTGGTTCTCTTTTGGGAAGAGGGGAGCACTAGTCCTTTCTTGGTGGAAGAGAAAAAGACTTGTCATATTGGAGAGCCAATGGCAAGTTTGGGGGATCAGCGTTGGCTGGATTGAGGTTTCTTCTGCTGCCTTCCTCCATGCCCACGACTGTGGGGGAGTTTGGGTTTCAGGCGAGGCTCCTAGGGGTGTGGTTTGATCAGAGGCCCCTTCTGGGGGCTACTCATGGGACAGTCCTAGACTTAAGTAAACTTCCTGCTCTCAAATGAAATGTCTCTTCTGTTCTCCAAACACCAGGGAAAGATCGAATCATATTTGTGACCAAAGAAGATCACGAAGCTCCCAGCAGTGCAGAACTGGTGGCTGACGATCCCAACGACCCGTATGAGGAGCACGGTGAGTGACCCGGGGCCTCCTAGGGAACCACAACACATTCTGAGCAAGGTATGGTGTTGACAGTTCTACTGCCTCCTTAGCCAGGCTGGTCCGTGGCCCCATCCCAGCCCTGACCAGCTCTGGTCCCGTGGGCACTGCAGGTGCTCTGCTGCCTCCCTCCAAGCCAGCTGTCGGGCAGCAATCTCTCCATGCTGAGACATTCACGCCTCTTCTTTCCCCAGGGTCTGCAGGTTGCATGCTTCATGCTGATTAAGTTTGGGGGGAGTTAGTTACAGGTAGCTTATGGTGACAAGGATCCATCTGCCTGCTTAAGGGACCTTGAATTCCGCACTGGCATGCAAGTAAGGTGCAGAGCCTGCTTTTTCCTGTGAAATGTGCTAGCATACGTGGGTCACGCCACACAGCTGCAGGCCTCAGCCACGCCAGTCATACTTCTGTGTGTTCCTTGGTAACCAAATACAGAGGTGGCCATGTGGGCCTAGAACATCATCTGCTGGAATCCCAGCTGCTTCTCACCTGTGGAGAGTGATGGTGTGTGCAGTATCTAGATGTCCACACATCCTCAACAATACTCAGTTCATGCCAGTGGCTCATGCCTGTAATCCTAGCTACATAGGAGGTTGAGATCTGAGGATCACAGTTAGAAGCCAGCCCCGGCAAGAAGGCTCCGAGACTCTTTATCTCCAATTAGCCACCAGAAAACTGGAAGTGGCACTGTAGCTCAAGTGGTAAAACACTGACCTTGAGTAAAAGACCTCGGGAACAGCGCCCGGGCCCCACGTTCAAGTCCCATAACCAAAAAACGGGGGGGAAATGCCCCCAAAATGTACTTGGTTTATCCACCGAAACGACACCTGATACCTATGGTATTAACTCAGGCTTCCAGAGCCAAGTGCTGAGAAGTCGGTGAAAGCTTGAAGCAGCAGCCCAGGATGTAGGCTCTTGGATGGAACTCTCGTTAGCCCGCTGCTCCTGGGGGTAGGGCAAAGCCAAGGACTCATAGCTAGCACTGTCAACAACGGTGGAGCGTACAGACTCCACACAAAGCCAGAGAGCTCTAAAATGATTGCTAGAAGAGTAACGTAAGCAGTGTGTGTGTGTGTTAATGGCATTTGAATTCAGGGCTTCAGGCCTGCTTAGGTGGGTGACTACAATGTGAGACACAGATCCTTGACCCCAAGTAGATCTCTCATTTTTGCTCAGATTTGACCTTGGACTATGATCCTCCTCACCTATAGCCTTCTGCCTAGCCAGGATCCCAGGCTTGTATCATCACACCCAGCTTGTTGTTTGAGACGGAACTCTCACAGTTTGCCTATGCTGACCTCAAACCACAATCTTCCTACTAATCTCTACCTCCTGAGTAGCTGGGTTTACAGGTGTGAGCCACTGTACGTGCTGATTCATCATTTTATAAACAAAAATAAATCCCTTGTCAATCGCTCATCTTTAGGTCCAAATTAGTTAAGCACGCTTCACTATTTGATTGAGAGGTCAGCAGGACGAGTCAGAGTTTGCTTTGCTAGCCTCTCAGTGTTTAAATTGTATGTCTGGACTTCACTTCTGAAGCCACCATCACGTGGATTGATACTGAGTCCCTGATGAAAACTGACAGCCTATGCTCTGTGTAAGGTGCTCTCGTTCCAGCCCACTCACCCTGGAGAAACATGAAGAGGGACATCTGCAGACCTGGTTGTAATTTTTAAGTGTCAGTACTATTTCTTTGGGAAACTGATTGTACAGGGTTATTAGCAGATTTGAGTCTGAAGCAGAAGTGGCAGAAGATGAGCTGTGTGCCTGAGAAGTTGCCCTGCGGCTGTTGTGGTCAGAGGCAGGACCCCTGCTGTCTCCTCTTCATAAGGAAGGAGCAGTGGCAGCAGCTGTGGATGATCAGCCACGGTTCCCAAGCTGGCTCAGAGTGCACCTGGGCACAGAGTGCTATGCTAAGCTCTCCCTGCAGTGAAGGATAATGCGTGCTTCCAATGGACATTTTGAGTGCTTTCTTAGAGAGCATCTTCTGGAATGTATGAATCATTTTTCTGTGTCAAAGCCATCATCTTAAAAGCATTAGGAAAGCCAGGAAATATTTTGATGTGCACAAGGTTCAAAGTAGATAGGACAAAGAGTCCCATATAACACAAACTGAAAACACTTTCCTAATCTTACTCCCTTCCGACATGTGTGTGACATGTTGTTTGTCTGTTATAGGCTGGGGGTGAGCCTAAGGGCCTCGTGCATGCCAGGCAACGGCTCTACCACTGAGCTGTGTACCAGCCCTCAAACGGTTTTTGTTGTTGGTCGTGGGGCTTGAACTCATTTCCTGGACTGTCCTTGAACTCCTTTTGCTCAAGTCTAGTGCTCTACCACTTTGAGCCACAGCGCCACTTCAGTTTTCTGGTGGTTAATTGGAGGTAAGAGTCTTACAGACTTTCTTGGCCGGGCTGGCTTTGAACCGTGATCTCAGCCTCCTGAGTAGCTAGGGTTATAGGAATGAGCAACTTGGTACCCAGCTTGATATTTTCATTTTTATCCCTTTTTTGCTAGCATAGTTATAGAGAGGAACATTTCATTGCTACATTTCCACATTTTCACAGTGTATTCCAGTCTTACCCCTTTATGGCTCTCCCTTCTCTTGGTCCTTTCTTCCCAGAATTTCAACACTGGCATACTATTCAGCAGTGCCACTGGTTTTTCATGATATACCATAAGGATTATCGTCTTCCTCATCTCTCCCCAGACTGTAGAGCAAGAGGCAGTAAAGCCAGGGAGCTGGGGGCGTCTGGTCCCCATGGTCTGTGTGGGAGGTGGCAGAGCAGGGTTGCTCCACCTAAGACGCCGCTTCCTCTTTGGAGTAGAGGATTGCTAGCCTTGAATTCGGTGGCTCAGCTCATAGCACTGGGAGGCAGTGTAGAGTTCAGATCAGTGCCACCTGTGGGAAGGATGCTGGTGGGCGCCCTGCTAAACCGAGGCGTGCTGGGTTTGTCCCAGGTGTCTAAACCGGATCCAAATGGAGAGGTAGGTCCCAAGGGAGTGCCCTGCAGGCACTGTGAGGACTGGACTGGCTTTGCCTGTTTGAAACCAGAGAGAACATCTCACCTTCTCCTCGCCCATCTTCCTGTTCCAGGACTGATACTGCCAAACGGAGACATTAACTGGAACTGCCCGTGCCTCGGGGGGATGGCCAGCGGCCCCTGTGGGGAGCAGTTCAAGTCGGCCTTCTCCTGCTTCCACTACAGCACAGAAGATATCAAGGGGTCAGACTGTGTAAACCAGTTCCGGGCCATGCAGGAATGCATGCAGAAGTACCCTGACCTCTATCCCCAAGATGACGATGACGACGAGGAAGGGGAAGAGAAGCCAGTGGAACGTGGTCAGGAAACGGCCCCTACTGAGGCTGCTGCCGCCCAGGAGCAGGGGTCAAGCTAATGAAGGCCACAGGCACTGAGTTCCACCCTCCATGTCACAGGACACGAACCTTTCACAATGCCTTTCAGTCACCCTCTGAGAAGAAGGTGTCTTTCCCTCTTGTTCTGTGCACTGTAATGTTCAAAGTAATTTATTTTGATGATGGAGTCTTGGCTCCTTGCCATATACACTGAAAAAAGGAGGGTTGTGTGTCTGTGTCTCTTGCACAGACCTGTCAGTGAGTGTGGCTGCCCCAAGTTCTCAGACGGCCCTGACGTTTCCAGTGTGGAATAATGTGCTGAATACCTCAGCAGCAGAAGTCATTATAGGAGCATTTCTGTTGTTCTGATTGTGTTCCCTGTTGTAGATTTTATACCTCTCTGGGAAATGAAATAGAAGCAAAACGTTTCCTTTGCACATGCCGGCATGGGCCGCTCCTGTTGGAGGAGGTCAGTGGTCAGTGGTCAATGCATTTCTCAAGATCTGTCTTGCTCTGGAGTGTGGGAGAGGCAACTTCATTCCTGGAACATTACTTTCCTTGTTTGTATTGAGCTCTAGGCTCCAGGTTCTCTGATTCCGAATCTCTTTGTGAGTAGGGGGAAAGGTGGTTTTGCTATTCCTTGTTTTCCTGTTGTGAGCGCCCTGGCTTGGGGCCTGTTCACGCAGCACGCAGTCCTTTCGGGCATCTTCCCGAGAGTGGGGACCTCATTGTTGCCAGAACAGCAGCCAAAGAGGAAGCCGTGTGAATGAGATACTTAATTAAAAGCCAATGTGATTTCTAACTGACTTTGATAAGTCTTTTTTCTCACTAGTTAGAATTTCTGTTTGAATTCTAGACCTTAAACATACATTCCTCTCCTGACTCGTCACCTCAAGTAGCTGAGATTACGGTGTGTCCCAGTGTGTCCCACATGCACTGTTTTGATGTAAGGAAATACAAATTAGGAAAAACTCAACAGAGATTCCTCTGTAAAGATCCTAATAAACTGGCTTGAGTCTGCTAGTGTGTGTGGAGTTCAAAACCAGCCAGGTTTTCTTTGCTGAGCAGTAAGGCAGGGTAGGTCCTTCCCAATGAAAAGGAGCTGCAGCGCTGCCCCGCAGGTCAGGGTAACTGCTGGGTAGTTTCAGGCCATGCCTCCTGTGACCTGAGGGGAGTAGTTACTTCCTAAAATTTAGCTGGGAACCACAAGCGCTGTCTCCATTCCCTGCAGCTCTGAGTCGTAGGCCGGTTTCCTGGGGTCTCTAGCACACCCTCGTAGTAGGCTTGTTGTGGTTGCTTCCTGGTTTCACGGGGCTTTCCCAACACTGCTGGTCTGTGGCAGGATCCCAGTACACGGAATTTTGGATTGAGGGCCTGAGTTACCCATTGGTTATTGGCCAGAGACCTCCCTCAGTTCCCTGCCCGGTGGTTGGATCTCATGTTAGGTCAGCTCACAACTTGGCATGTGGCTTCTACCAAGCAAGTGAGAGCAAACTGGAAGCCATGGCTGTTTTGTAACCTGGGCTGAAACCACCAAGCCACACCTCCTGTCACAGCCATATTCCAGAGTTGAGTGTGGCTCACAGCCCACACAAGTGCTAGCACACCAGAGAAGTGCCACCATGCTCAAGCATGCACCCCACACCGACTGGACTGCAGGGTCTGTGCTCCCATGGTTAAGAGGGAAGCGTGTGTGGCACCTCCCTGTACCTCCACATGTTCAGCACCCTGCCTTGCCCCGATTTTACAGATGCTTCATTATGGAATCATGACCGGCTTAATGTTTGGCCTTCAGCCACTCATTAATACACCAAAAAATACTTAGCGGCTCCCAGGGGTTGAGGAAATAAAAACGGAGTGTTTCTTACATAAATCACAGTGCCACAAGCTTCTCGTCTTGACCATTATCATTAACTTAGTGGTCCTTCTGATTAGTAGAAAATAAATACTGGGCATGGTTGTGCACACCTATAAACACTGCACTGGGAAGGCTAGGCACCAGTTACTGACAAAGCTGTCTTCTCCAGTGCGTTTTTGGCACCTTTGTTGAAAATCAGATGGCCATACTTGTGGGGCTTTTTCCTGGGTCTCTTGGTCTTTGTATGTGTTTTGTGTCAGTGCCCTCTGTGTTCATTATGGCTGGATTAGTGACAGCTGCTATCATCACACCTCCAGCATTGCTCTTTGTCTTTCATGTTACCACATGATCGTGTGTGTGTGTGTGTGTGTACGCGCGCACATGCGCATGCTAGTCCTGGGGTTTGAACTCAGGACCTGGGTGCTGTCCCTGGGCTTTTTTTTTTTTTTCTTGCCAGTCGTGGGGCTTGAACTCAGGGCCTGGGTGCTGTCCCTGAGCTCCTTTTGCTCGTGTCTAGTACTCTACAACTTTTTCTGTGATTGGAGATAAGAGTCTCATAGACTTTCCTGCCCTGGCTGGCTTTGAACTACTATCCTTCGATATCAGCCTCCAGGGTAACTAGCATTACAGGCTGAGCCGCTGGCACCTGGGAGCTTTTTTTGTTCAAGGCCTGGGGCTTTTCCACTTGACTCATACCACTTCTGGCTTTTTGCTGGTTAATTGGAGATAAGAGTCTCCTGGGCTTTTCTGCTCCAGGCTGGCTTAGAACTGTGATCCTCAGATCTCAGCCTCCTGAGTAGCTAGGATTATAGGTGTGAGCCATTGGCTCCCAACTTCACATGAATTTTTAAGGGTTTTGTTTTTTTTTCTATTTCTGTGAAGGATGACATGGAGAATTTGATGGCTTTCACTGAATCTAGATTTCTTTCAATAGTGTGGCCATTTTTTACAATATAGAGTCTACTGATCTATGAACACAGGATGTCTTTTTTTTTTTTTTTTGGGTCTGGTCGTGGGGCCTGAACTCTGGGTCTGGGCGCTGTCCCTCAGCTCTTCAGCTCAAGGCTAGTGCTCTACCACTTGAGCCACAGCGCCACTTCTGGCTTTTTTCTTCTTCCTTATGTGGTGCTGAGTAATCGAACCCAGGGCCTCATGCATGCAAGGCAAGTGCTCTACCACTGAGCCACCTTCCCAGCCCCCACAGGATGTCTTTCTATCTACTAGTGTCTTCTCTAATTTCTTCAGTGGCTTGTAGTTTTCATTGTAGAACTCTTTCACTTCTTTAGTTAAGGTTTTCTCTACATATTTAATTTTTTAATAAAATACTACAATGGTCTCTGTGATACAAACTAAAGAGATAGAGGTCCTATTTTTTCATTGTGCATTGGATATATAGCAAGTGCTCTGTATTTGGGTAAGTATTAAGGAAATGTATTGTGATACACTAATAACATTTCTCTAGAGTAACAGTTTCTAAGTCTGTCATTCACAGGAGATGGGTTTTTTTGTTTCTAATATTTTTATCTTTAAGTAGTTGTACAAAGGAGTTGCTGTTTACTGAAGCAGTTTATGAGTACAGTGCATCTTGATCAATGCCATTCCTTTCAGCCTTCTTACCCACCCCTTCCCTCATCTGTCTTTTTTGGGGGGAGGGGGTAGTCATGGAGCTTGAACTATGGGCCTGGGTGCTGTCCCTCAGCTCTTCAGCTCAAGGCTAGCGCTCTACCACTTGAGCCACAGTGCCACTTTTGGTTTTTTGGGGGTTTTTTTGAGTGGTTTATTGAAGATAAGAGTCTCACAGACTTTCCTGCCCAGGCTGGCTTTGAACTAGATCCTCAGATCTCAGCCTCCTGAGTAGCTAGGATTACAGGCGTGAGCCACTAGCACTTGGCACATAGTCTTTCTTATAGGTGAAGATTTGTATTTGTCTGAAAGTTCTAATTCATCCGCTTTGTCTTCAAACCTGATATTCTGTCTTACTTCAACTGAATTTTTAATTGACTTACTGAGATTTCAGAAAATAGTATTTTTTTTTTTTTTTTTGCCAGCCTTGAGGCTTGAATTCAGGGCCTGGGCACTGGCCCTGAGCTTCTTTTCCTCAAGGCTAGCTCTCTACCACTTGAACCACATCACCACTTCTGGTTTTTTCTGTTTAGTGGTACTGAGGAGCCCAGAGCTTCATGCATGCTAGGCAAACACTCTTAACACTAAGCCACATTCCCAGCCTAGAAAATTGTATTTTGATGTGTTTAGAATCTTGTCTTATTTTTTAATTTCAGGGAATTGTTTTACACAGATGCTTATACATAGATGCAACTTTAGAACTTTGTTTAAGGTATATCTTTTGTACAGCTTCATTGGTGCACTGTGGTAATTTAGTATACATATATCATGTGTAACAGTCAAGTGATAGCAATAAGCATTTGTTTCTTCCACCATGGGTTATTTTTATGTGTTGGAAATGTCATGCAGTACGTGGTAAGTTCTGTTAGCTATGCCCAAGAGGAACCACGACGATTCCTTCTGTGTGTTCCATGCTCCCTGGGGAGCTTCATCCTGTCCCTTCCTGTGCTTCCCAGTCTGCAGTGACCACTTTCACAGAGCAGGATTACTTACATCTGACTTGTTTCATTTAACATAAGAAAGGCCACTGGAAACATTTATTAAACAAAGAAGATAGCATTTTAGCCATTTTAAGAGGACAGGTCAAGGGTATTAAGCACATTCATATTACTGTAAGACAAACTCTCCAGCCAACTCTAGTGACTTTTTTCCCTACCAAATAATAGTTCCTAATCTTTCTACTTCTCCACCCACAACAGCTGTCATCCTGTTTTCTCTGTAAGCTACACTTGCAATTCCACCTTCTCATGCACATTCAGTGTTTGTTTTCTTGTGACTGACAGTGTACTTGAAATAACATTTTCAATGTTTGTCTTTGATGAACCATAAAAATTCCTTTTAGTTTGAAGCTATAATATTCTATGTACAATATTCCTGTATAATATTCAGGCTGTATTGGATTTATGGGTTCATCTGCTTATTGGCATTGAGTTTCCATTCTTGATTATTACAAATCATGTTATTACAGGCAGAGCTCAAATCATCATTTCATCTACTATGTGCAGTTCATTTTGTCTTATCTGTAAAAGTATATTCATGGGTCAGTCACATGGTACTTTGTGGCATATTTAGCTAGGCAAAATAGAGGTCACTAGATGACTGAGTTACTGAGGAGCACTGTGCACTATCACTATCTGTAGGTGTGTGGATCAACTCAGGACACGAAGTTTCCCTTGCCAACGGCAAAAATGTGCAGCCATGATGTTACCTGAGATAGGTTAGTAGGTAGACAGGGTCAGCAATCATATCCCCACTCATTTAACCCAGCGTTTATGTACTGCCTCAGGACTAATGCTTGCAAAGCTGCGTATGAGCTGATCAGGAGAACTTCATCACTCAGCTCATCATTAAAACATTTCCTCTTGATCCCCACAAAGATTTACAAAGTTAATCGCTTGTTTGTCAGGACAGATGAACAAGCCATTGCCACCTTCATCTGGACACAGAGATGAATTGAGTCGTCGTTCTTCATAATTCTTGAGGAGTAGACCACACAATCCAAGCATTACATGACCACAAAGAAACCCATGAGCAGCAGAATGGTCCGGTGGCCCTTTGCTCTTGGAGAAAGGCTGGTGCGGTGAAGATGCCGGGACCACCGCTTGTGCCTGCACAGGAGAATCACCATGTACCCACTGGAGAGGCCGGGAGCCCTTAATACAGACAACAAGGGCCTGAGGAAATAACTCATGGGTAAGATGGCTCAGGATTCAGTGATAAATATTGGACTGTGTGAGGTCAAGTTGGGGGCCGTGACAGCAGAGATAGAGACATGTGCGCTGAAGGACATGTGGAAGACCCACAGCACCAGAAGGAAACACAGGC